AAACGACGTCGCTATGAACGCTTGGCCGCCACAAGCCAGTTATCCCTATGGTAACTTTTCTGACACCTCTTGTTAAAAACTCTTTAAACCAAAAGGATCGATAGGCCGAGCTTTTGCCGTCCCTGTGTGTACTGGACTCCGAAACTCCTAAACCGAAATCCAATATCTCTCACTTATCTCTCTTATTCTACACCTCTTATGTCTCCTAACACTGCATGAGTCTAGAATACGCTAGACCATTCGTCCCAGGGACTCCCGTAAGGAGTTGGACCCCCTGGTAGCAACTCGAATGTACGTTGGTCAGACATAAATTCCTTTTTGTTAAAGAGCAAAGTGCACTAAACACCTCTGTTGCTTTCTGGGTCGCAACTCCCAGGTGGAAAACGCCACCTTCACACCGGGTAAAGGCCGAAGCCAATACCCTACCCGCGAAGTAGTCGTTAAACCATAGCCACCACGTTTCCTTCCCATATGAGTAGTCCTAGGAAAACTCCTTAACCCGTGGTTCCGACTTCAGGTGCTCGGTGGGCACCCCCTTCAGTTCCGGCCAACTCGGCATATGGGGAAACCAATTGTCACGTTCATCGCCTCGTACGAACTAGCGTTGACATACTAGTGGTGTTATTCTAAGCCTCGCCACCACACGGGGGAGTAGGAATCTCGTAAACCCATTCATGCGCGTCACTAATTAGATGACGAGGCATTTGGCTATTTTATTTTATTTTTTATTCCGTAATGTCACCTTTGTCTGGTCCTTCCAGCGCCTACGCAACCACATACCAGTAGATTTCTGGTAATTAGTAGCGACGACAGGTGTTAGGACCCGAATTCCGTTTTCTTGTTTGGGTGTAATGCCAATGTAGCAAGCATCCGTAGAAACGTGACGGACCGATATGGTCACTCCTTATACCGAAGTGAAACATGATGGTCTTGAACCCGAATGCAGCCTGTTTGCCCAGTAGGCTTCACATTTTTCACGTGTGTCAACCATCCCTTCATGCACCTTACATCTATCAAGGGCCCTCTTATTCTCTTGATCCAGAAATTTATTGGCCACCCCCTTCTGCCAGAAGGCATTGCTGAGCGTAATGAGTCGCAATACTGGACTTATTGACCTCAAAGAGGGAACACCTAGACCCCCATCGTTGAGGGATGCATGAAACACTGCGTTGCACACGTCGTTAGATAGGCCCAACCACCTCCTAACTGTGCTACGTATTAATGTGTTTTTCGCAGAACGCCCAATTCCACACTTTCAAGGGTTAGCTTGTGATAAAGCTGTGGAATCAGGAAGGTCCGTAGGGCGAACATTCTCTGTTGTGGCTTGAGGACTGCGTTAATCTCTCCAACTTCGGACCGAGGTCCTTAGAAGGATTGTAACGAGCCCTCCCATCTGCGGTGAAATTGATAACTAAATACTTCCACTTCTCCGAGCGTTTCAGTGCCGGACACTCGCGATTACCAAACTTAAATGCACGTGGGTGAACAACCGTGCATTTTTGTTTAGGTTGGCCCTTATTACTAACAGTAAAACACTTGTCAGAGTTAAGGGTTAGCCCGACTGATCCCATAAAGGAAACAGTGAATTCCAACAGCTGCAGAAGGCCCTTTGGCGTGGAAGCAAAAAGCACAATATCGTCCGCAAATACAGCTGCGTTTACGACGAACACCAATCTGTCCGGGTAAGGATTTGAGAAACCGATCCATGATCAGATTAAACAAAACTGTCGACAGTGGGTCACCCTGCTTTACGCCACGCGCAGGAGTGAATTCCTCTGAGCACCAGCCCCCTCCATTGAGCGTTGTGCTGCCTTTTTCGTACAGCGAAGCGTGTTATACAGTATCAAACACCTTGCTAACATCGAGGGTAGCGATGTAGCAGGAAGCTGCCATCTTATGGTGATAACGCAGGACAAAGTCCACAATAGTCGCGTTATCGGCACATCAGTGTGCTGGAATCTTCGTTGCCTCGGGTCCCAGTCTACAGCTAAGGTGAGCCTCCTGCTAAGGATAGCGTTTAGCTGCCTGACTATAATGGATGGTACCGATATCGGCCGAAAGTCTTGCGGTCGTGATGACGTCGCCATCTTCGGGAAGAAGATGGTTCGTACCATTCGGAAGAGTAGAGGTAAATCTCCACACCAGAGAATCAGGTTCATTAATGCCCATGGGAATCCCCCTCGCCTGTCTAGGGGTTATCCCGTCTGGTCCTGGAGAAGAAGTCAATGACACTCGCGAGTCGAGGATATCACGACATGTGATCGGATTCCAGACACTTTCTAATAAATGTTCCATATTTAATGGGGCGTAGGCGTGGTGTTGTTATGTGTCATGACTTCCCTCCAATAGGGTTCCATCATCTCTACGGGTGGCATTACCGACTCATCGGGGCCTTCAAGCAATGACTTGATGCAGCGACCTTTAAATTTATCCCAGTTACGCTAGACCATAGCGTACTGTTGCCTTCTAAAATCTCACCTATTTGTAGGTACACGACGAAGTGCACTACGTCGAGCTGGGCGGAAGCTCGGCCTCGGGAAAACCCCGTGAAGGTAATTTGATAAACATTCGAGAGTTGCTTCTTTGCCCGATGCTTGTGCTCTACCTACAATAGATTGCAAGATATCGACTCTTCAAAGGCCACTACATCTGACAGGCCGAAGCGCTGTCATCATTTGCATGAGGACTCCGTTCGAATGTATAACTGGAACTGTCGCTGATCTTGTTACTGGGGGATCTTGCTCACTTAAACTAGGGCGGCGCAGTATGGCATCGGAAACATTAACTGAAGGGAGAAGCTCATCTTGTCCTCTTAGATGTGCAATCTTCGTTTTATAATTCTCCCTCTGCCGACATGTGAACACCGAGTCCGGTCTTCGTGCTGAAAGAGAGTCATAGTTTCTCCCGCCGTTGACCCGAGCTTACTTGAATTTCTTCACGTTGACATTCAGAGCACTGGGCGACCATTATAATCGAAATAATCGAAATTCTATTTACCCAGAACGAAAACATAAACCATGTTATTGTTTCCCAGTCAAGCCCGATTATCTCAATCTTCAGAGACAATCCTAATCCCGAAGTTACGGATCTAATTTGCCGACTTCCCTTACCTACATTATTCCATTGACTAGAGACTCTTCACTTTGGAGACGAGCTGCGGAGACACCTGGCATCTCTCTGCCGTACACACCACTGCTGCTCATCACCCTTTCTACGGAATTTAATGCGTTGTTGTTACATCCTCAAGCAATGCAATATCCTCTTTCCAGGATTTAAATTCTTCTAATAGATGCTTCTTCAATATTTATTGAAGTACAATTTTTATGTTTGTTGTAAATCGGACTCTTCTATATATATCTGTAGAAATTCCTTCTCAATATCCGCAACGAAAGCAATTCTATGGCAACGAAATCTTATCAAAACAGCAGTTAAATCTGTTAATAAATTAATACTTGGTCTAAGATGATCATCCAATGAATCCTTGTTCGCTGGCTGGGGCGTCAAACACAATTGCGCACCTCTTTAGTTGTTGCCTTGTCGATGTGATATTCTATGCGCAAACCAACTGGAATTTATTTTAGATTAAGTAACTAACCATAATCTCAAATTTGAAACTCCAAGTGCCTTCAATGTTCTTATTGTTACCTGCGTTTCATTATATAGTTGGCGCAGACTCTACGTCAACAACAATTTTTCCCTCTCAATAATTTCCCGGTGCTTCCATACTCTTCCAGTAGCAGCTCGACGGCATCATGTTTCGGACGGAATAAATCCTTCAAGTACTGCGGCTGCTTCACCTGTTAGAGCAAAATTTAAATAATTAAAATTTGCGACTGCATCCAAAGAGCTTTTTTTTCATGTTCAAGTTCGTACTTTCAAATCGTACCATTACGATTTCGAATAAAACTGAAACTGACTCCATCAATTTAATCAGTACTGGGAAGAAATTTGAATATGGATATGAAATTGCCTTGGATTATTTATTTGTTTGTCACAATGTGAAGAAATATTTGTTCATTTAATTTAAGGCTCAGGATTCGAAGACATGATATCGGGAGAAGATAAAGGCATATACCATAGAAAAACTTGAAGAAGAATTCGCATATGCTAGCAGGTTGGAAGGATCATTCCAGTTAGGAAGAGGGTTTGATAAAATACTTTTACCTTATAAGGTGTGCTACAAAAATGCTTTAAAAGCCAATAAAGAACCCCAAAACCCTTTTTTTGCCAGCAAGAGGGCCACCACAAACAAAACATATTTATCAAGAAAACGGCAGAACGAGGCGTGGCAGACCCCACAAAAAAAAAACAAAAAAAAAATAATTAAAAAAATGTAATTAATTTAATTAAATATAAAATATTTAACACATGCATACAGACATAAGTGATTATGTACAATTTCAATAAAATAGATTTACATCAGAATCGTGTCTATGCAGAGCTTGGACAGAGATTATGTTTATGGCTATAACTTTCTTCATAATTAACCTATCATGATGAAACTTGGCACATAGACACATAATCACTATATGGATGTATATGCCAAATTTGAGTGTAAAATTCTAAGAACTATGGGAGTTACGGGAATTATGGGTAAAACACGAATTGCGGGGGAGTGGGGGGGTGCATCAGAAAAAAACACAAACTCGTCCTTTCTCGGACTTAAGAGAATCTGAAAGTATATATATTCTTGACCAGCATAACAAGACGATTCGATCTAGCCCTGTCTATCTGTCTGTCTGTCCGTATGAACACCTGGATCTCAGAGGCTTTAAGACCTAGAGACACTAAATTTGTACACAAATGCTTTATATGTGTACGCCGTGCGAGCTTATTTTTTTGAGGCACCACTCCATTACCTTTTGCACTAGTTTTTAAATTTTTTTTTGTATTTGCGAGGCTAGGCCCAATCTTTGTAAAAATGTTTATATATAAAATTTTAAAATAGTGTTTTAAAAAAAACATATATACATTGGTTGTATTTTTAACATAAAATAAAGACTTACACGGGCTCTATTCTTATTGCAGTTAACCCATATAAATATTTAAATATTTTTAGTAAGGTAAGTTTCACTAATAATAATATTATTATGTGCTAATATTTGTACATAAACCTGGGTTTGTGAAATGCGCACACCACACACCTGCGCCTGCTAGAAATGCAGCCTGCTGTAGTGATCAGGTAGGCAATGGCCCTGTGCAGTTGTGTGCAGGCAGGTAGCGGCCGAGCGCTCGTTCGTGCCAAAAGAAATTTTGAAAACCCTGTAAATAACAGTATTTACAAAAAATACTCTTGTGAACAGGAGCATAAAAATAAGCGCCTTGCTAAGTATGCAAGTCATACCTTAATATATAACATCAAATTACAAAAATCAATTTCAATTTCGTAAGGCATAACAAACGTGAAGCTTTAAAGAATATGAGCATGATCGGCTTGACACATTTGGTTCTAGAAATATCTATGTATTCATTTTGTAATAGTCGCAATAAATATTTTTGTATTTCGGTACCAGAGACCTGCAGCGGTGCACCGCAACAATAAGTACACCGCATACATACTTGTACTTATATTTCATTCCCGATCATGCAAAACATAACATAACAAATTATGCGGTGTTGATTGTATACTGCCATGAACTTGAATATGGACAAGATTTTTTATCTTTTTTATATTATATTAATATTGGCTTTATAAATATTGTGTGTAGCCGCCTTTATTAGAAATAACCTCGCCAATTCGATTGTGAGAAAAACCACCACCAAATTTTAGTGATCAGTTGAGTATTGGGTGCTCCCGCACTCAACCATTTTTTTGAGTGTTCGATCTGCACGATCAATTCAGCTGCATTGCCGGCGGTACCTGTACTTATGTAAGTAATATTTGCACGATTAACCTCGCATATTCAGTGCACATGTATGTAAACATATGTATGTAGTAGTACATACACGTACATTTTCATTTGTATGTACATTGTACATATTCCACTAAGACTATGTTTAAGCTCTATCGCTAAGAAGACATAATATCATAAACAAGGCAAAGTAAAAACAAGAAAGGAATGCAAAAGTCGAGCGGGCTCAACTTTTAAATACCCTGTACCACCCCCCCCCCCCCCCCCAAAAAAAAAAGTAATTAATTAATTTCATTAAATATAAAATATTTAACACATGCATACAGGCATAAGTGATTATGTACAATTTCAATAGAATAGATTTACAAGTACATCAGAATCGTGTCTATGCGTGTCCCCCCTGCTGGGGGAGTGTTGGGTGCATCAGAAAGAAAAAAACACAAACTCGTCCTTTCTCGGACTTAGGAGAATGTGGATACCGAGTTTAGTTATTCTTGCTCTTGTGCTTCCCGAGATCCTTGCGTTCATACAAACGGACGGACGGACGGACGGATAGACGGACACCTGGATCTCAGAGACTATAAGAGGTACAGACACCAAACTTTGCACAAAGATGCGTTATGTGTGTACGCTGTGCAAGTTTTTTTTTATTTTTTGATTTTCCCCCCACTTCCCCCCTATGGGGGTTTTCCCAATTTTCCATTCCTATAATTCCTATTGTTAAACATTTCATTTGCCCTCTGCGGTTGTCAATTCGCACAATCATACGTACATACACAGACATACACACAAACACATACACAAATATACACATGCCTGCGAAATTAAATAAGTTACTTTCTTGGAAAAAGGCCATTTAGCTTTGCACGTTTTGTGCTCTCTTTTTTCATACATTTCGCGTTTTGATTGAAAACAAGTAAAAAGCTAAAGTCTGGTGCCCCGACTTTGACATACTTTGTACATATGTTTAGAATAATTATAGAAATTAAAAAAGAGAAGTAAGAGAATTAAAAAAATTTTTCTTGATCGATTTTACCTCCTTTGGTATTCGTACGTCTTGTGAGTGTATGTATGTTTATGTGTAAGCATGTTTGCAGTCAACCAAATCATCAGCATCAACAACAGCTGCGGGCAGCGCTTGAGCAGCGCTGCATCAGCAAATATTTATGGCTATAACTTCTTGTTAAATCGGTCTATCATGATGAAACTTGGCATGTGTACACATAATTACTAACTGGGGGTATTTCCAAAATTTGAGTTCGAAGTTCCAAGAATTACGGGAGTTAGAGGAAATCACGATTTGCAGACAGGGAAAGATCGACTCGTTTCGTCATGTTGATCAAGAATATATATACTTTGTGGGGTCTGCCACGCCTCCTTCTGCCTGTTACATTTTTCAGCTCCCGCAAACCTAATATACTCTTGTACATTTTATGTACAGAGTATAAAAATCGATTTTACCTCTCTCAGTATTCGAACTCACGGAGCTCACATTTACATAGCAATTGCGTCTATGTGAGTGTATGTATGTCTATGCGCGTCTATTCGTGTCTGTGTGAGCATGTTTGCAGTCAACCAAAGCTCCAGCATCAACGACAGCTGCGGGCACCGCTTGGGCAGCAAATATATTTATAGCTAAGACATAAGACATCTGGGACTAAAATTTGGTGTCCCTAGTTCTTATAGTCTCCGAGATATAGGCGATTATACGAATGGCGTTACGAAAAAAACCCCCTCAGGGGGAAGTGGGGGAAAATCAACAAAATAAAACAAACTTGCACAGCGTACACATATAAGACATCTTTGTGCAAATTTTGGTGTCTCTATCTCTTAAAATCTCTGAGATCCAGGTGTTCAGGCGGATGTACAGGCGGACAGACAGACATAGATCGATTCGGCTTGTCATGCTGATCAAGAATATATACTTTGTGGGGTCTGCCACGCCTCCTTCTGTCTGTTACATACATTCGCACAAAACTAGTACATATAGCCTTTCATCCTTTGGGTACAGGCTATAAAAACTGCTTACTCGGTGTTGTGAAATTGGTCTTAATATTTGTTCTCTTTTTTCCAAGGAAAAGGCTGTGTTGTCCGATCAATTTCTAATTTGGTATCCGTAATCAACATAACTATATCTACAATTTGGAATTCGACGATTTTCGAAATATAGAAATATGTTTTTACTTGCCTTATGCAGCAACAATAAACAAAGAACGCAAAATATCAAACAGTTGGCGACATCACATACTCACACTTAGACAGTGACACGCTCACAGACACAAACATAGATGGGCAAAGTCGGTGATTTTTGTTCGTGGCACACGCTGCACTGCGTGGACCCGAGTGCCGTGTTTCATATTCCAATTTCGTGCGTGTTCGTGTTGACTCAAAAAAGCACGAAAAGACAGTCTATCTTAAAACATTGTGTTATGTACATACATGTATGTATGTATTTTATTGTCGAAAGAGATTTGAAGCGCATATCCAAAAAATAACAATGTTTTTATACTCTGTACATGAAATGTACAAGAGTATATTTGGTTTGCGGGAGCTGAAAAATGTAACAGGCAGAAGGAGGCGTGGCAGACCCCACAAAGTATATATATTCTTGATCAGCATGACGAGACGAATCGATCTAGCCCTGTCTGTCTGTCTGTCCATCTGTCCGTATGAACACCTGGATCTCAGAGACTATAAGAGCTAGAGACACCAAATTTTGCACAAAGATGCGTTAAATGTGTTCGCTGTGCAAGTTTGTTTTATTTTTTTGATTTTCCTCCCCACTTCCCCCCTATGGGGGTTTTCCCGATTTTCCATTCGTATAATCGCCTATATCTAAGAGACTATAAGACCTAGGGACACCGAATTTTAGTCCCAGATGCCTTATGAGAATACGCAGAAAATGTGTATTTTGGAATTTCCCTCCCTCCCCCCTATCCCCCGTAAATCGCGATTTTCTCTAACTCTCGTAATTCTTAGAATTTCGAACTAAAACTTTGTAAATACCCCCAGTTAGTAATTATGTGTACCAAGTTTCACTATGATAGACCAATTTAACAAGAAGTTATAGCCATAAATATATTTGCTGCTGCAGCGCTGCTCAAGCGCTGCCCGCGGCTGTTTTTGATGTTGCTGTTTGGTTGACTGCTAACATGCTTACACAGACACGAATAGATGGGCATAGGCATACATACACTCACACAGACGCAATTGCTATGTAAATGTGCAATGATAAACCCTTTACGTGAGTTCGAATACCGAGAGAGGTAAAATCGATCAATTTTTTTTTTTTTAATTTTCTTACTTTTTTAATTTCTATAATTATTCTAAACTATGTACAGAGTATTTCAAAGTCGGGACACCCGACTTTAGCTTTTTTACTTGTTTTCAAAATTTTAAATTTGTGATATGCAAAACTCTTTTATGCTTGAAAAATTATATGGTTTCCCGGGACCACCGCTGCCAAAGCCTGTGCTTAAGATACGAGGCATTGCGCTATCGCCTTAAGCATGCCGCCCGACGAAGAAGTGGCCCAGGGTTAGTGCCGCGCCATCGTTGGGGTAAGCGCTGAGTGCTCCTAGTGGCCGAGAGTTGAGCACCGCCTCAGGAACGCATTTCCCACTGTCCGCCTGCCTATGAACGCCGAAGTGAGGTGCTCTGGGTGGTATGTACGCATAATCGCATCCTTTTCGTGATGCGCCTTCTCCCACCTCGCTTGGAACTCCTGCAGCTTCCGATCGGCTCCCACGAAGTTCGTTGTCGCAGTAGACTTTCCTTGGGACGCCTTTCGTTCATCAGCGAAAAGAAAAGCATCAGTGGTTAGGTCTGACACGAGCTCTAAGTGAACCGCTTTCCAGGCAAGACAAAGAAAGCCAGGTATGACTTGTTCGGTGGCTTCCCACGGATCAAGACCACATATTTCGAATGGATGGAAAGGCTGGAGCCTGTCTGCCGGAAGATTTCCCATAACTTGGGAGGCCAACCGGATCTTCCATTTGAAGCAGAAGATACACGAACGGACGGTTCGGTGACACACTTCCTGAGCGTTAACCAGCCAAACTCGCTCACGAAGCAGGCTCACCAGCGATCTAGGGCCAGCATGGCAATTTGACACATGCAAATAAGCTACGTACGATCTTATGAATTGCGACTTTTTAGAAAGCAACAACGGAAACTTGGCTTTGTACGGGATAGGAGCATTTAATAATCTT